AGTGGCTAAAATGAGCAAATCAGAGAACTCTAGATGCTGGCGAGGATGTGGAGAAACGGGCACCCTCCTACACTGTTGGTGGGAATGTAAACTGGTACAGCCCCTCTGGAAAACAGTGTGGAGGTTCCTCAGGAAACTAACAATAGAACTCCCTTATGACCCAGCAATAGCACTGAAAGCCATTAAAGGATTTTAAATTGAGGCATCATGTCATCAGATTTGCATCTTATATGGATCATTCTAATGTCCATTTTGTGGAAGCCATTGTAGTAGCTGAAGTCAGGAATGAAAGGTCCTAAATAGGGCATTTGTAGCAGGGACTGAAACTGATGGATTTATATATGGGATTTTTTTCAATGGTTTGTTATGAAAATTTGTAAACATAGAGCAAAGTTGAAAGAAGTATGCAATAAACACCCATACGCCCACCATCTGGATACTACTATTTAACGTTTTACTATACTTGGCTTGTCATATACCCATCTATCTACCCATCTGTGTGTGGTAATTTTTACATTTAGCTTCATATAAAGGTAAAACTTACAAAATCAGGTAATAATCCGGATAGTGGGTAACAGGAATTGGGGGAATCAAAAATGAATCCCATACATCTAGCTTAGGTGACTAGATGGACAGGGACAGCACAAATGAGAATGAGAATACAACACTGGGAGACTGGATAGGAAAATACTCAATTCAGTTCTAACTATGTTGAGAAAAAGAAGCATCCCATGGAATATCCAAGTAGAAATGTCCAGCAGGCATTTGGAAACACCAGTCTGAAGCCTGTATAGAAATGCAGATTTACAGTGATAAGCATGTAGATGATAGGTTGAACCACAGACAGTGATGAGATTACCCAGAGAGAGTACGCAAAATGAAAATAAAAAAAATGAGGAGATCCAGGTTAGGGGGAAAAACATAGAATCCAAAGGAGCATGATTTCAAAAAGGTCAGAATTATCACCAACATAAAAGACAGTAGAAAGCTCCAATAAAAGGTGAATAATGTCTAATGCAACTAGCAAACGGCAAGTTACTGGTGCCTGGAGAGAAATTTCAGTAGTATTATGGGGCTATGTCAGAACAGAGGAATGGATGGGAAGTGCAGGAAAGATAAACAGTGGACTTTCATTTATTTCCTTTTCCATCTTTTAACTGTGCTTCCTGAACATTCCCAGATGTGAAAGATGGTCTTGGAATCAATATATTCAAGTGCTTTGTATTCTATATAGATTCAGAAAATGGAAGACAGGATTAGTTCTTGCTCTAGGACTAGATTTTTTCCCCTAAAATTTTACATGGTTTTTATCATCACAAAATTAATCTTGTTTCAGAATAACTCTTACATAAACCCTCAAGACCATGCTTTCCTGAAAGACTTTTTATATCTAAAATGAATCAACATAAAATGGAAGTTTCTTTTCATCTCTCCAAAATCTTCTTTGGTGTGTTCAAAGCCCACGTTCCCTAGTACCATGTCCAGGTCTCTGACAGATACTGTCTCTCCTTAGGGGAAAGAGAAAAAAAGGAAAATTCCTACTAATGCTGAAATGTTCCATATATTTTACCCATGTATTATAGACTTGGCAGAAATATACAAGACCCATGGAACATGTTTCAGTGAATGCAGAGATTCAATATGGTTAGAATTAAGATCAATTCCCTTAAATCTTTTTAGAAAAATAACCATAACACCACAAACTACTAAAGGAACAAAGAAGTTTCCAGTGTATAATTCTTATGATAGAAATAGGGAGTTAAAAAAATAGGCAGGGGTTCCTGGGTTGCTCAGTCAGTTAAGTGTCCGACTTCAGCTCAGGTCATGACCTAATGGTTCCTGGGTTTGAGCCCTGCATCCAGTTCTGTGCTGATGGCTCAAGAGTCTGGAGCCTGCTTCGGATTCTGTGTCTCCCTCCCTCTCTCTCTCTCTCTCTCTCTCTCTGCCCCTCCCTCAGCTCATGCTCTGTCTCTGTCTCTCAAAAATAACTAAATGTTAAAAATTTTATGAAAAAGAAATTGACAGTTCCGTGAAATGAGAAAATTACCATGGTTGGAGTAAGAACAGATGGGTGTGAGTATTGTTCTGTATTATCTACTGGAACTTAGGTAAATAACCTAACTTCTTTGAGCCCTAGTTTTCTGTTGTATGAAACAAAGATGAGACTGTCTCTCAGAATTTCTGTGAAGATAAAATAACAATTATGAAAAGATCTAGAACTCTGTCAGATATGTAGCATATGCCTGATACATTTTAATAACTACCTCTAAGCCAAAGTAGTTAGTATTGGCTTTGTTTTTTTAAACTCTAACTAGATTCATTGCCTGTGCTAACTAAAATCACAGAATAATTACTTTCTTATTCTGAATTTCACAATTAACCTGCAATAATAAATTCAATCTCTTGTCTTGGAAATTTTGTTAAAATTCATATCAATAAGATCAATATAAAAACCCCAAATAAAACAACCTACCAAGATAAAATAATTTAAATTATATTGAATCCATAAGTTGAAGAGTGGGAGGATTCTTTATGACATGATTAGGAAATAAGATAATAAGTGATACGTTGAAAGTGGTTTGTTAATTCATCAACCATCTCACCTTGGAAAGCTAAGATTTCACAATGATATACCTTCCTGCTAG